AAAAAAAAAAAACCATTGGAGTTTTGTCCTTTTTCCTTACGACATGTGAAACCGTGTGTGTGTATTAAATGCTTAGAATGAAGGGATTAAATATATTTCCATCATCAAAACACAGGCTAAATTCAGTTTGAGTCCAATGAAGCATGTTCTTCCACTTGGCTTCGCTTACTTAGAAGAGTTGCTACATCTTCTAATGGGTCACCTACAGTTACATCAGCAGTTATGCCAGAGACAAAAACTTACTTAAGATCCATTCTGTGTGGTCACGGTAAAGAATGAAACTTACTTGCCTACTGCTTTTTTTTTTTTTTTGTGGCAGTACACGGGCCTCTCACTGTTGTGGCCTCTCCCGTTGTGGAGCACAGGCTCTGGACGCGCAGGCTCAGCGGCCTTGGCTCACGGGCCCAGCCGCTCCGCGGCATGTGGGACCGGGGCATGAACCCGTGTCCCCTGCATCGGCAGGCGGACTCTCAACCACTGCGCCACCAGGGAAGCCCTGCCTACTGCTTTTAAAGAAAAAAAGAAATCTGCTTTTTCAATACAGAATAGGGGAAGATAAACTTGATTAAATTCTGCATTATGGTCATTCAGGTCAAAGAGAGGAATTGTCAACCAAGGCAGAGAACAAGGAAGAAAACATGTAGGTTGAAGAAAAAGAAAGAACAGAGGTGACATGGCGTCCAAAAGCATGAAGGGCAGACATCCAGGGCACAGGGGTGGAGAAGGCAGACTTAAGGGCAGGAAAGGGACAGGCACCAAGTGGGGAAAAGAGACTCACTGTTGTCGGACATGAGAGGGGTGGCCCTTAGAGATCATCCAGGCCAGAGAGAAAAGAGATGGAAGAACGGGACAGCCTCAGAGCCCTGTGCAGCGATGTCCAGAGGTCTCACACGTCTGTAATTGGAGCCCCAGAAGGAGAGGCGAGAGAGGTAATGGGCAGAAAAAGGGTTGAATAAATAATGATGAAAAACATAAACATAATAATAAGGCATCTAGGAAATCCCCAAATGTTTGGAAATTAAACATCACAATTGAATTAGTTTTCTATTGCTGCGTAAAAAATTACCCCAAAGTTTAATGGCTTAAAAAAAATTACTGCCTCACAGTTTCTATAGGACAGACGTTGGGGAGCAGATTAGCTGCGTGGTGCTGGCCAAGAGTCTGTCCTTTGATTTTAGTGAAGACTCTTCAGCCGGGGAGCCGAGGGCACAAGGATCCGCTTCCAAGCTCGCGCTCGTGCTGGCTGTTGTCTGGGGACCTCATTTCCTTGCCAGGGGACTGCTGCATAGGGCTTCTCTCCACATGGCAGCTGGCTTCTCCCTGAGGGAGCCTAGAGAGTCAGAGAGTGAGCAAGACAGCAGCCACAGTCTCCTTTATGACCCAACCTGAGAAGTGGTCACAGGACCGGCTCAGGTGCAGTGTGGGAGGGATGGCCCGGGAGCACGCAGTCCAGGAGCGGGGTTCGTCTTGGAGCCTGGCTGCCACTCGCTTCTGAGTTGCCTCTGGATCAAAGAAGTCGCAAGGGAAATTAGGGCTATTAATCTTTTGACATATATCACAAATGTTTCCCCAATTTTTCATTGGTCTTTTACGTATGGGGCTTTGGTTATATGACAGCTTTAATTATAGTTAAATCCATTAATATCTTCCTTTATAGTTTCTGACATAAGTTTCTAGACAGCCTCTGAATTACCGACTTTGAAAAGAAAACGTAGACCACTTAGATAGAGGTGTAAGTAGCATATACTTCCCTCTGGCATTTTAACAGGGATCAAAGTCATAAGCAAATGGAGGAAGCTTTTGGACACTTCACCTAAGTAGTTACCTATTTATTTGTAAGAGAGGCCTCTAAAGGAGGATATGGCTTCAATAGAGTTTTTCTAAAACCCTGAGATTTCCTCTCATTTCACTCTTATCCTTGAAGAGGTTTTTAGATTGATAGAGGGTATTACATCCTTTTCCTTTATTATATAACAGTAATAAAGGAAACCAGACAGTGAGGAGAGCATCATCCATAATCTCACCGCCCTAACATCTGCTCACACGCAAAGCCAGGGAAGAGGTGACAGAACTGATGTTCAGACCGTGCCGGGTGTGTGTCAGCACAGTCCTTTGGGAAAGAAGTTCAGCAGTATATGTGATAAATTATGGAAACCTACATATTTTGGATTCATTCATTTTCCTCTGGTCATTGATGCAGACGAGAAGAGCTCTGTGCATGACAAGGCTCATTTCAGTATTTTTATAATAGTGAAAAACCAGAACATAAATGTCTGGTAATAGAGGAATTGCTAATGAAATTGTGGTTCTTTTGCTCACAGTGTTAGTAGCTACTGAAGATGATAATTAAGAAAAGCAGTATGAGACAGTATGGGAACTTTATTGCGTAATGAGGGATAAAAGCAGAATATCACATTATAATAACTCTGTGTTTGCAACTGTGTAAAACATTTGTGTGCTTGTGGAAAATGAGAAAGAATACATAAAAATTAGATTAGTACCAAATGCCACAATGGTGGTCTTAAAGTAATACCAACAATTAAAAAAAAAAAAGGAGAAAAAGATACATGCGTGCCCAGAGGCCCATTTGAACTTTAAGAGACCACCAAGGTCTGGGGCCGGAGAGCAGATGCGATCAAGAGGGCCACCCTAATGCTACCCCAAGGCCTCCTGCACCCAGGGCTGGAGTAATTGTCGGCCAGGAGCTCTTCCCTGGGATCGAAACCCCAGCCAAACATTGCACCCTGGGCTGGAGCAGACCAGATGCTCTGTCAAGGCTCTCAGAGTCTCTGGGAGAACCAGGGAACTGGGCTCAGAAGCCACAAAGCCAGGAGAAATGCCCACACACTCCACGGGGCTGCTCCAGTGATATCCCCACTGTGCCTTGCACCAGTGCCCCGGGCCCAGGCTCACACTGCAGTGCCAGAAACTCTGCTCTGCTGTCCCTGAAGGGCGGGATGCCGCCTGCCCAACCGTCACAAAGATGTGTGTTCCCCGTGTGCCTGATTCTTCACATTGCCCACTTCTGAATCAGTCTCACGTGGGTGCATTTGATTGGCAGGACCTAGGTCATCTGCCTGCGCCCTGGCTGAAGGGAGCCTGGGAATGCTAACATTCTGGCTGCGGCCTTGGGAAATGAACACATTGTAGAGAAGCTCTTTTAAAAGTGTTCATCAGCTACAAATGTAGCAGTTGCCCATTACAGTTGGTAAGCCTGTTTGCTGTATTCCATGGCATCCCATCATGTGTGGGCCTTTCAGAATTAGTGTGGAGGGCTTCCCTGGTGGCGCAGTGGTTAAGAATCCACCTGCCAATTCAGGGGGACCCGGGTTCGAGCCCTGGTCCAGGAAGATCCCACGTGCCGCGGAGCAACTAGGGCCGTGTGTCACAACTACTGAGCCTGTGCTCTAGAGCCCGTGCTCCGTAACAAGAGAAGCCGCCGCAGTGAGAAGCCCGTGCACCGCAACAAAGAGTAGCCCCCAGCTCGGCGCAGCTAAAGAAAGACTGCAGGCAGTAACAAGGACCCAACGCAGCCAGAAATAAATAAATAAATAAATTTATTGAAAAAAAAAATTAGTGTGGAAATCTTACTGAGAGGATAAATTGATATGGCATTTTTAGAAAGCAATTTGACAATATGTATAATAGTCCTCAAAAATATTAATATTCTTTGCCCAGTAATTCCACTTCTGAAGCTCCGTACAAAAAAATGAACAAAGATTCATGTATCAAAATATTCATCACAGCATTACTGATCATAGTGGAAAACAGGAAACAACCTAAATGTTCTCCAAGGTCTGTCCTAACCCTCTTCTCTCCTCACTCTGGGGCCACCGGGAACCTTGTTTGCTCCCTTGCTTCAGCTACCAGCTCTCTCTTCTGAGCCAGAAACCCCTACCAGACACCGCAAGCACAGTTTCAACCGTTTATTTATTAAGCATCTCGTATGTGCCAGTCGTCAGACTAGATGCTTTTTCTTTTTTTTTTTTTTTAGGTATAGTTATGAACAGTGAAATGCACAAGCCTTACATATACAGTTCAATGCATTTTGACAAATATACATATTTACATAACCAACACCCAATTATATCATTTAAAAATCTCGTGTTAACTTGAGTAGCCATCCTTATTTTATAGTTGAGGAAAAAGGCTGGGAAGAGTTAAATAATTTGCCCAAGGTCACACAGCCAGTTTATGGGGAAACGAGAATTACAATCCAGATTTAACCTTTCTAGAAGGTAATGCTCTGCTTTAGATGATGGGAACTCACCATGTTCAAAACTGCACTTGGCGCTTCTTTGATTCAGTTAGAGCTGTTGATTCCAAACTGGCCTACCTAAAAAGGAGCTTTACTGGCTCAGGTAACTGAAAAGTCCAGGCATAAGCTTCAGGCGCAAGCTACAGGCACAGCTTGATCAGGATTCACATGTCACTTGATCTGTTTCTCTACCAGCACCTCTGTACTCTGCTCCCTCTGCTTTGGGTTCAATATCAGATACACTTTCCCCTCGTGGGGGTAAGAAGGCCTCATCAGCTCCAACCATACATTCAAGTCCCACAGAAAAGAGGAAGGAGGAGAAATAGACATTTATGGTCAAGTCAGCATCTTACCTCTACATGTCCCTGGAATTCTGTTAGTCAGAATTGAAAATGCTGATGTCAGCGTTTTGTAGTAAATAACACACACTGTAATGACTTTATAATTATTTTGATAGAAAAAGAATGATGGCTGTTTAAAAAGAGGTTCTATTTGTTCTTTTACTTCTCTGAACATGTGGTTTTACTTTTCAAAGACCATTTTTGGCCCTAAAATCCAGAAGGCGGTGTATAACTACAGGGAACACATGGGAGAGAAACCACCGCCCCAAACAACATGCTGCCAAAGCTCAAAGGAGGACTTACACAGTAAAATCTTACGATAGCTTTGTACAAAATAAATGTGTTATGATTAGGTCAGATAGTCAACCAAGAATAATATAATTTCCTTGTGAATTGTAAAAACAACAAAAAGAATGTTTAGAACTGAGCAGAGGATTTTTATTGTGCATATCCCTTCCTCCTGAAAAAAAAGCTTTTTGGTTTTTGGTTTGGTTTTGTTTAAATTAACTAATTTATTTACTTTTGGCTGCATTGGGTCTCCATTGGGTTGTGCGGGCTTCTCACTACAGTGGCTTCTCTTGTTGTGGAGCACGGGCTCTAGGCTCGAGGGCTTTAGTAGTTGTGGCTCTCGGGCTCTAGAGCACAGGCTCAGTAGTTGTAGCACACGGGCTCAGTTGCTCCCCAGCATGTAGGATCTTCCCGGACCAGGACTACGAACCCGTGTCCCCCGCATTGGCAGGCGGATTCTTAACCACCGCGCCACCTGGGAAGCCCTGGTTTGTTTTTTTTTTTTTGACTAGGCGAAAATACTCCGTTGAAAAGTAGTTTCCCCCCAAAACTGAAATGTTAACTCTTACTCTCTCCAATGCTTCTAGGGAATGGAAGACATCCTTTGCTGCTTCATCAAAGAAGGCAATGCCGAAAGGATCCGCCAGATTGAATTTATCATCAAGCAGCTTCATTCAGGTCTGTTTAATGCAAGAATCTATTATGTATCTTTTGAATCTTTCACATATGCTAAGTGGGTTTTCTTAGAGGGGCTTGTCGTGTCTTAGAATTCATTCAAGAGGTCTTAAGGGAGGTGGGGAGACCCAAGTGAACCCACAAATGGAAGTTCAGCCAGGTAACCAGGGCCACTTTGTCCCATGATCAGTAGTCTCTCATCACACTTTTGGCTTATAGTCAACCAAGAGAGTTCAAAAGCAGTTGCAGAAACCCTTCTCTAACTAGAAGTTCTCTTTATGTGGGCCTCCCCCTCCTAATTATTTCCCCCAGACCACTAGGGCGGCCATCCCAGGGTCCGAGGGTGAGATAATGAAAACAGATGCCAATCTTTCCGGCACCACCGTGGAAAAGGCCCTCGTCCTCCCACATTCATTTGCTCCAGAAGAATTCATGTTGCCAACCAGCAGCGTGGGAGGATGTGATCCCCTTCCTTCCATTACTGTGACCACCCACATCCCATAATAAGCAGGAAAGGAAGGTAAAGGAAGCCTTGGATGGGACCGGGTGGTGGGGACGCTCTTAGCTCTTTCTGTGGCACCCTGATGCCTTGATCCTGACTTGTACACAAGCCAGAGGCACCTGGCACTGCCAGCATCCAGGGTCAAGCTTGTCACTTATGTCTTTCTGCATGCCCTTGTCCACATCACTGAAAGTCCAAGTGCACAGATTCTGTTCCTCACACGAACGCAGGTAAAAAATGAATCTCCTGATCTCTAATCCCAAGGCAGCAGCTTGACCAAGGCCGAGCAAAAGGGAAATGCCTGAAGCCCTTCACTGGAGGAAGCCCACAGGTGGCTCTCCCAGCTCCTGGTTCACAGCTGGGGCGGCACAGGGCAGTCACCTGGGGAGATCTGAAAACCCCCCCAAGGTAGCACCCCATGCCAATTAAATCAGAATCTCTGGAGGAGCCCCAGGTACAAATAGTGTTTAAAACTCCCAGGTGATTCCAGTGTGCAGCCCTGCCTCAGAGGGACACAGAAATGGAGAGGCAGAAGGAGGGGGTTAGAGGGCTCCCCATCAACAGGAGGCGGCCAGGAGAGCAGCCGGTGAGGTTAAACCTTGGCTGCCTTCAGGCTGGGGGCCCATTTCCACTTGAATGTCCTCCCCTTTGGTTTTTATGGAGCAAGTATAATTCATGCCAGATTCAGGTGGGGAAGGAACAGATTTGTATTTTCTGCAGCAACTGCATTTCTGACTTTGCACTTCCATTCTGCTAGGCGGGCATACTGAAAAAGATAATAAAAGGAAATAAAACCTAACCTTAGTCCTGGCCGAGGTTACTCCCTAACTTTCTCTATGTAGGCCACAGTTTGGGAAGGCAGGGGAATGCTGGGAAAAGTTGTTGCCTATCTGCTCTGAGGTCACTAGCTATGCCGAGACCTCCCTCCCAGGCCAGGAGTCCTCTGCAGCATCAGGGTCAGGTTTGGGTTGGGAACCTTCAAGGCTGACTCTGTTTCAGTCAGTCTATCAAGACACACTCACCTCTATTTCCTTGTCAGTCTTCCGTCCTCCCAGGCAGCCAGAAAGCAGTGTGCCTTGTCTCTCTGGCCAAGAAAACATCTCTTCCTCTTACATAAAGCTGGCCCTTGGCCCGGCACGCTAACGAATGTGAGGACGAGGGGTCAGTCTACGTTTCCGTAAGGGATGTGCTTTAGCAAGAAGTTGTCCTGCGCAGAGCCAAGGCCTTACAACCTTGTGTGTTCAGGACAGACTTGGGGTCTACCTGCTCAGCTCCTGAAGTTCCAGTTTAAATGGAGTGCCTACAGTAGTTCTTTTTCATTTCAAGCACAGAAGCTGTTCTGTATCCATAGGACAGTGGCAGGACTCCAGAGACAATTACCCAGGAGTCTGCTACTTTGAAGCAAAATTAGAAAGTCATTGAATATTTGGGTGGAGGACCAGATACATACACATGAATACCTTAGGATACCTGTCAACAGCCATCAAGTCAAAATGAATCTACAAGCATCATATGCTTAAACCTAGAGGAGGGAGAGCTGGAGAGTTTCCATCCAGTCCAGTCTTCCTCCTCAAGGGGAAACTGATAGCCGAGTGTGAGTTATGAGGCATTTACTAGTTTAAGATAGGTGAATCTTAAACTAGTAAATCTAGTTTTAGATTTAACAATCTTTTTTTTTAAAGTATCGACTTTCTTGTTTTATTTTAGTGAACATGAAAACATGTACATGGGTTTTCTTTTTTTTTTTTTTGCTGTATGCAGGCCTCTCACTGTTGTGGCCTCTCCCGCTGCGGAGCACAGGCTCCGGACGCGCAGGCTCAGCGGCCATGGCTCACGGGCCCAGCCGCTCCGCGGCACGTGGGATCCTCCCAGACCGGGGCACGAACCCACGTCCCCTGCATCGGCAGGCGGACTCTCAACCACTGTGCCACCTGGGAAGCCCTGTACATGGGTTTTCTTAATTCAAGTCCATCTCAATCCTCTAGCACTCTTCTTCTAGTGGAGTTTTAAGGTCCTCAAGTACAAAATTCCCATGTATTTTAGAACTTTAACCCCACAGGAGGGGAAGGACTGCTCTGGCGAAGCCTAAGGGGAACTCGCGGCCTGGTGATGTGACAAGTGGAAGTGAATGGGCAGCAGCAACAGGGAGTTTTGTCCATGACTCCAGCGCTCAGCAAGGGGGCCGGCAGATACCAGCCGGTCACCAAAGAGAGGACAGGGCGACCTGACTGGTCACTGGGCAGAGCAAGGTGGAGCCGGCTTTCCCGGAGGGCCCTCAGGAAAGAAGGGATGCTGGTAACTCAAGCGCCCTGTTGTTGGGCCCACAGCCCAGGGAGCAGTGTGGGAAGCAAGGCTCATGTCCCCGTCCTCCCGGAGAGGAGGAGCTGAGGCTCGAAAGGGACTTGAGTTCACAGGACTGCACATTGTTCCGAAAGTAGGTTGAGTCTGAGCCCACAGGCTCAGGGGAGGGGGGCAGTGTGGCTGGACTAGCCTGTGGCCTCCTGAAATATCTGAGATTCAAAAAAAAAAAAAGGCCTTTCCATATTTGAAGAAGAAAGGTTTAATTTACAATTGGTAAATATAGCAGCCTCCCCACTGTGAAAGCCACTTACCGAAGGTGAAGTGGAAGGAGCAGTGCTGTTCAGGGGCTGGGAGGGCATAGAAGTTGGGTAATTAAGCTTCAGCCCAAACGCAGGTGACGCAACATCCTCCAGTATGCAAAGTAGCTTCCAGACAACGGCACAGCCCACGGTAGGCACACGAGCCCTATGAGTGACCTGCTGGCTTCGGTCCAGCCGGGTCAGTTGAGTCCTTCCCTTCAGAATGAGGGCTGCGTCGAGGACAACAGGAGTCCTGGAGTTTCTACGGATTCCCTTCTAGGAAATGGTTTTGGGGTTTGGTTAAGTCTAGGTGCATCTGCCGCCTTCCTAAGTGTGCTGGACAGTGTCTTCAGCGCCTTTGTTTCCTTCTGTCCTCCTATTTCCTGTTTGATTTCCTTTCCTCTTCTCTCCGGCTTTCTTTACTTTCATGTCGTCTGTTCAAGAAATGAGTGATAATAAGGAAGGTGCTGAGTAGGTCAGGTGCTCTGGCCCCAGGGGCTCACAGGCTTCGTTTACCTGTCTCTGCAGCAGCTAAGGGATTTTGTTGACCAAGGCTCCCAGCTGTGGTTGCAGATATTCATTGATTTTTTTTCTTTGTAGAAGAGCTACTGGACGGTGTTCTTGAATCTGATGATGATGAAGATGAAGATGATGAAGTAAGTTAGAGGCTCTTGACACCACATAGAAAACTCGAGCCAACTATTCTGAGTCTCTTCCTCGCCTTGGAAAGTTAGTCCAGAAACGGAGCTTTCAGTCCCTGCTACATTACTTCTCACAATTCTGTGGGTCGGCTAGAGCTCAGCTGGGTGGTTTTCTGCTGGTCTCTCTTGGGGTGTCAGTGGCTCTTCTCCACGCCTGAGCTGGCATCGCGTCCGCCACAGCCCCTTTTCCACGTGGCCTCTAATCACTCAGCGGTCCATCCCAGACTGCCTTATTGGTTGGGGGCCGGCCTCCAAGGGGAAAGAAGGGAAAGCTTCCAGTCCTTGTGTGGGCTCAGCAGCCTCAGAACATCACTTACGCTGCCTTCTGCTCGGGGCATGTGCAAGACCAGCCCAGATGGGGGTGGGGATGGGGGTGGGGGTGGCAGTTAGACTCCACCCACACGCGGCTGCAGGGTGGGAGGACTTGCGGGTGGTGTGTCTGGAGACCGGCCACACCTTGGTGGGCTCATTGCAGCCAGCACGTAGAGGCCACACTCTGTGGCACTTGGGTTGATGGGAGGCTGAAAGATGACAGGTCTTCAACTGAGTCTTTTGCCCTGAAGGGGCGCGAGCCTCCCCTGTCTTCCTCGTGGGTGTGAACGTTGGGCCTGGAGGCTCCCTGGGAGGATCTCCAGGGTGGGAGTCCGGGGCTTGCTTCAGAGCTGGCAGAACCTACCACTTTACCCTGTCATTTGCGTTCCTGTGGTTTGGGTTACCTCAGCTGTGAAAAATCCGCTTACCTGATTTTTTAGAGCGTGAAGGTTCAGAATGAGGGCGTCTGAGTGAGTCCCGTGAGGCGGTGTAGAGAATGGTGACTCATGGGCTGTAGGTGGATTTTCACGTGACAAGCTATTTCATTATTTTTCCTTCAGACCTAAAAAACCCATACATGGCTGTGCTCTCTTGTTCTCTGTGGTAATAAGTGATTTGCATTCCCTCTATTTTGTGGGGAGCATTTATTCCTGAACTGAATGCTGGAAGATGAGTTGTTCTTTGGAGTTGTGGTCTGTCCATGTAAAAGGTGTGTAGAAGCCAGGTTTTTGTTCATTGATGGCATCAGTTAGGGGAGACAGTTCATCTAAGAGCCCTCCACCAATGAGGACAGATCTGTGAGCGATGGTCCCTCTGCAGACAGCCTCCCGCCTGCCATTTTCCTAATAGGCTGTAGGCGGCGCCAGCGGGCACCCCTGCTCCCTGCAGTTCTGGACTTCCAGAACTGGCCAGCACCTCCTCCAGGCCCCTTCCTTTACAAAGGTGGATCCAGAGAAGGGAGGAGGCCAGCCTAAGGTCACACAGAGCTGATGGCTGTAAAATCTGGTTTAGAACAGGGGTCAGCAGACTTTTTCTATAAAGAGGAAGCTAGTAAATATTTTAGGCTTTGCAGGCCACACTGTCAGTTTCATCCACCCAGATACACCCGTTGTAACACAAGGTAGCCATGGACAATACGTGAATGGTTGAACGTGGCTGTGTTCCCATAAACCTTTTTTTTTTTTAATGTGTCCTGTAATTTGAATTTCATATGATTTTTATGTGTCATTAAAAATTTTTTTCAAACATTTAAAAATGTGAAAATCCTTCTTACTTTACTGGCCTAACTATCACAGGCCATTGTTTGCCGACCCTGGAGAGAACCCAGCTCCCTGACTCACTGGCCTTCTCAGGACCGTGAAGAGACACCACCTGTGTGTCTCGCCCTTCAGCACTGTTTTATATTATACTTTGAGTTAATATCTTAATTATTTAATTCCAATAACTTTTTGTCCAAAAAAAGCTCCCCTCAAGATCTGTTTTTCCCCCCTATCTGTTATCACTGTGGAGTGGTTTTATTTTATTGCTATTAACCCCTTTGTTTTTGTAATGCAAGGGAAAATTCATTTGGTTCAGCTGTTAATGATGGGAATTCAACTTTTGGAAATTTCCTTGTGGAAGTTATAGTCGACTATAACTACAGTTACAGTCTATGGTAAATGAAGGAATATAGACATCTTTTAATTTTCTGGACTTTTTGCTACTCTATGCAGATTTTTATTTTAAGCTAGTGTTTGAAAATATTTGTTGTGATAACTAGAATTTTCAGAAGATTCTTGAAAGGGTTTAGCTGGAAAATTATAAGGAAAGGACCTGTCATTTGGGGCCAAAAGTTGACTCTCTGTGATGACCTCAGGTCGGCAGGTTCTGGGCTCTCCCTCAGTCATGGTCCCGATACGTACTGTGGAGGACTAGCCAGGACGACCTGGGAAGGAGCCAGCAGGTCTCTGCTTTACTCAGCTTTCCCCAAGGCCAGGTGTACTTTTTAAACTGGGGGTGGGGGTGGGGGAGGTATGGGTGTGGGGAGAAAGTGAAAGATGCTTAAACTACAGGAAAATCTCCAAAACTCAGTTGTGCAAGTCACACTGTTGTTGGAATGTGGCTGTCACTTCCCAAGGTGACAACTTTGAAGGAGACAGCAAAATTATTTAAACCCAAAACGCAGATAACGAAGCCACTGTTTGCAGTTAGCTGCTTAGTGCCTCTAAAGGTAAAATGGCTCTAGGAGGGGCCGGAGGCCGGGGTAAATTATGGCTGCCTTGCCTTACACTGAGCTGAAATCTGTGCCCTTGCGACTTTGGCCACTGGTCCTGCTCTGCTGGAGACTCTCAAGAATCCCCAGATGCAAAATCTGATTTTTCCCTCTAATTTCTAAAAATGTAATGACTTGTCCTGATGTATTAACACTTATTTAGTTATGCCTGAATATATATACATACACATACCAACATAAAACGTTAACTAGAGTTAGTTTTTTTCTGACTTGTAGACTGTCTAGGATATAACGTCAAATGGAAAAAGGAAATTGCAAAGTAACATGAGCAGTATGAGTCAATTTCAAAAAAAAAAAAAAACTTATAAACACACATCCTGATGAATTATATACCTGCTCATATATACATAGCAGAAAGGTGTGGAAAGTTACACCCTCTTAGCTGACACTGAAAGTTCCCTGGGTGAGGTCTGGGGATGAGGAAGTGTGGCTGAGAGGTGAAGAAAGGCCTGGATCAGCAGGGCCCAGGGCTGCAGACTCACCACGTGAGGCGAGAAGTAAGAAGGGCACACACTGGATTTAGTGGACGGAGGTTGGCTGCTGAGCATTTTTTTTTTTTTTGCGGTACGTGGGCCTCTCACTGCTGTGGCCTCTCCCATTGCGGAGCACAGGCTCCGGAGGCACAGGCTCAGCAGCCATGGCTCACGGGCCCAGCCGCTCCGAGGCATGTGGGAATCTTCCTGGACCGGGGCACGAACCCGTGTCCCCTGCATCAGCAGGCAGACTCCCAACCACTGCGCCACCAGGGAAGCCCCATTGCTGAGCATTTTTGAAGACTAATGAGGCAAAAGCCAAACTGAGTAGTTGAGGAGCAGGTAGGAAGTAAGAGAATGGAACTAATAAGTACACACAGCTCTTTCCACAGATTTGGCTATGAGCAGTGGAAGAGAGTTGGATGGTGGCTAAACGGGGCATTTTTGTTTTGTTTTCATTTGGGAGATACCTAAGCATGTTAAAATGCTGTTTGGGAAGGATCCAGTTGAGAGGGAAAGGTTGAACATTCAAAGCAGGAGGAGAGAGAGAGGATGGCATCAGAAGGACAGGTGTTTTCATTATTTTCTAAATTGCTTCTTATACTCTTCTTGGACCATTTAAAGCTCCAGAGGGAAAAAAAACTATCACTAGATAAGCTTGGACAGTACCTAGGAGAGAATGGACAAATGACAACAACAATTTAAGGGTTCCAACGCATCTCATTTAGTGCTTTGAAGAAATGTGGTGTTATCTAATACAGTTTATTTTTATATTAAACGTAGATAATATGTTCCCAAAGGGTCGATGGTGAATCACAAGGAGTCCTGATTCCAGTATTCTCACCACAAACGGCTCACATTTTCTTACAGTTTGAGGCGAGTTCCTTGTGTCTAGCTCATAAGTGGCTTTATAAGTGGAGATGAAAGGCCTTTCTGTGCTATTCCAGAAGATTGATTTTAAGACAAATATTCTCCCCTCTTAACAAAATAGGTTTAAAGGCTGGGTTAGATCAGCCATGGACATTTACTTACTGGTTGCCATGAAAGTGACAATCATGTGCTCAGCAGTTCCTTTCTCTATAGACTTCTGAAATCTAAGAGCCATTCACTTGCTTATTCAACAAATATTTGAGGACCTTAAAATAACATTATTCTAGGAAATAATGGGGAAGGGATCCAAAAGAAATTTAAGAGTTTCTGTGGTTTAAAGTGACTAAGAGTTTAAAATCTAGATAGGTGAGGTAATAAAGACCCTGATAATAGCTTGTGTAGCATCACCACGTGCCAGACACTGTTCTAGGCACCTTACACTTACTATTTACCCATTTATTCCTCACAAGAACCCAGTGATAGGTGCCGTTATTGTTCCATTTCACAGACAGGGAAACAGAGAAAATATGTCACTTGCTGAGTTCACACAGCTGATAATTAAGTGATGCAGCCAGGAATCAAACCCAGGTGGTCTGACTTGTCCACACTGTTAACCACTACATGATTTTGTCTCTTGCGAGACATATATAAACAGTTAGCAAATAATAGAAAATAAATATGCACTCCTAGGTCCGTGAATGTGATAGAAATTCCTAGTACTCAGAGAAAACTGGAAAGTGGCTGTTTTGACAGCACTTTGCCTCACCGAGGGTGAAAGGTGAGTGGAATGGATTGCTGAAGAGAAGGATGTGGTCAGGAAAGCAGGAAAGGCATCTTCTAGAGGAGGCAGCATGACCTTTGTCCTTTGCTTCTCCCCAGCCCACAGTGATGCCCCCACAAAACCCATATTAACAACCTAGTATGTGTATGTGCTTTCATACTTTTCTTATAAGGTACACAAGGAAAGTACACAAACATATGTACCATAGTCCTGGAGATTTTTGTCAGTATTTGTTTTACAAAATGAG